TATGTGAAGGACAAAACAGAGTTAACGTTTCGGGTCTGGTGACCCTTCCTCAGAACAGGAAGGGTCACCGGACCCAAAACGTTAACTATGTTTTCTCCTTCACAGATGCTGCCAGACCTGCTGAGCTTTTCCAGCAACTTTGTTTTTGTTCCTGCTCACTCTCAGGTTTGGCTCTGAGGGAGCTGGATCAGTGTCAAGGACACCCCACGTGTATATTATGGGTGACTTGGTGATGGGATACCTGCCTCTTATTTCATAGGCCAGACCATGTTAGGATGGCAGAGTTCCTTCCCTAAATGGGAATTAGTGAACCCGATGGGTTTTTATTTCCAAAAATCGACAATGATTGCCTTTAGGCTAGCATTTTTCCCAAAATTTTCAGTGATTTCAAATTTCAGCATTGGCCACGCTAGGATTCAAACCCAACTCCTCCAATCATTAGCCTGGGTTTCTGGATTATTAATCTAGTCAAATTATCACTGTGCCACCTCCTCTTCTGATTTAGAAAGCATCCATTACTCTTGACTCTTCTGAAAAAGTGCATAAAACTCCTAAGCATTATCAGCTGTCAAGATCTTGGCTGAAATACTGTAAGAACCTGATAAAGTCAAATATCAGGATTTCTATCTGACTCTCATGTGGAGTCATGAAGGATTTAGGAAAAAAAAAGGTTAAGCTTTCTGAAAAAGGGCCCCAGCTCAAAACGTCAACTTTCCTGCTCTTCTGATGCTGCCTGGCCTGCTGCGTTCCTCCAGCTCCACACTGTGTTATCTTTAAGCTTCTCATGGTCGCATTGAGCTCGCAATGCTGTCAGGTGTAGAACTGCCGAGATCTTCAAATCAGACTTATTTCAGACATGAGCGAAGTATTGAAATCCTGCTATTTGACTTTATCAGGTTCTTACAGTACTTCAGTCGAGAGAGATCTTGACAGACAGGGAGTATGCAGAAACATGGGGAGAGGGGAGAAGAGGGGCAAGTACAGGAACTCAGTTGGTATATCAAGGCCACTCTACCCATCCTGTCTGTGCGAGACGACAATTGAACCACCATCCTCATCGCACTCTAGATCTGTATCCCTACAGATTACAGGAATTCAGAGGCAGATCCTGATGCATTTTAAATGGTTGAGGGTTTCTGGCTTGACTCTCCTTTTCAGGCAGTGAAACTTAGCACTGTCTTGGGGGTGGGAGGGGCGCACAATTCATATTCCCTCTGACCTTTGTACCAATCACTTTCAATCTATGCCTCTACTCACTGCTAAGGTGACTAGGTCCTTCTCTGATGTCCCTCACAGCCTTGTAAATCTCAATCAAATCTCCCCTCACTGAAAGGGGACAATGAGAACAACCTTGACCTATATCCAATCTTCCTTCGTAGCTACAATTTTTCAGACTTGGCAACATCCTTGTAAATCTCCTCTGTACCCTCTCAAGTCTAATTACATCCTTCCTGTCACGAGGTGACCTGAAATGCACACAGAACTCAAGTCATGCCTAAATAGTGTTTTATTTAGTTCTTGTTTCTCAAGTTCCTCCTTATAACTAAAGCCTTTCACCCTTGTTATCATCGGAGAGAGTCTTTCCTGCTCTTGGGACCTTTCTGAAATTGGACACAATATTCTAAACTGTGGGGAAAGTGAAATGGAACGCCGTTCTCATGTGAAAGTGGCTCAAAACTTTACAAAACAGTAAAAATGCTAAAAGTCTATGGTCTCCAGGTATTTATAGGTAAGAGAAAGTGCTTGCATTTATGTAGCACCTTTTTTGACCTCAGGGCGTTCAAAGTGCTTCACTGCCAATGAAATACTTTCATTGTTATAATGTAGGAAATGTGGCAGTCGATTTGTACACAGTACAATCCCATGGACATTAACGAGAGAAAGGACACCAGTGTCTATTTTAGTTATACATACTGGCCAGGGCACCAGGATAACTCCTCCGTTATTTTTTCCTTTCTGAAAGAGTGCTGTGGGATCTTTGATGCCTGACTAAGAGGGAGGACAGGGCTCCATTTAACATTTCATCCAAGCCACTTCTGGATGAGCAAAAGGCAAACCCCTGGATACTCAGATGCTGCTTAAATATAGTTGATGCTTTCCAAATCAGGAGAGGAGGTGGCACAGTGGTAACGTGACTAAATTAATAATCCAGAACCCCAGGCTAATGATCAGAGGACGTGGGTTTGTATCCCAGCACGGCCAATGGTGAAATTTGAAATCACTGAAAATTTTGGAATAAAAAGCTCGCCCAACAGTGATCGTGCAACCATTGTCGACTTTTTGGGAAAAACTCATCTGGTTCACAAATGTCCGCTGGGGAAGGAAATCTGCCATCCTAACCTGGTCTGGTTTACACGTGACTCCAGAGCCACAGCAATATGATTGACTTGGGACTACCCTCTGGACAATTAGGGGTGGTCAATGGCCCAGGCAATGGTGTCCATATCCTGTGAAGGAATAAAAGAGGGCAAGAGATAGAGAACAGTTATCTAAATAGTACGATTGAGAGATTTCCCCCGAAAGCAAACACTTGTAAGTAAAGGTGTCAGGTGCAGTACCTTAATAATCCTCTTCTGTCCAGTCTGACCCTGCCTCATTTTGGAGAAGTAATGGTAGTACTGAGACACATAGGTCATAATGGACCTTTCGTCCGGGTGAGGTACAGCCACGTCTTCTGGGTCTAGGAGCTTGGGAATGCCCAGCTTCTCGTCCGCAACAGTGAAGGCGTTAGTTAGGTTATCTATCCGCTGGTGCTGCTTCAGGCTCTTATAGTTGATCAGATCAGGCCTGCAAAAGATACCAAGAAACCGCCATCAATTAAATTCACTCCTGTAACAACAGGAATGCAAATGCCAAAACTATGACCACAAGAGCATCAGGTGAAGACAGGGCAGGGTTTGCTGTAATAGTTGAATCGAGTGCCAAAGTTTACAGCCTGGGCTCTTGACACATTAAGATAGCCACTTAGATGAATTAGCAGCAAGCCCTGATTGCAGTGCACAGCAAGGGTGCATACCTTGGATGGGAGAAGGAGATGTCACGCATATTTGATTTTGAAAAGGGCAGAAGGTGAACATGGATATACGTTTGCACGCATGTGCCATTTGTCACCCAAGCTCCGAAGGTGATTTGCATTTAGTTCCACCTTACAGCATTCAAAGGTTTAACTGACACAACATCTGCCTGCAGGAGGGAGTTTCAGGGCTCTGATCACCTTGGGGCTTCAGCTGGTTCGACTGACTTGTGGCCCTCCAACAGGATGAGGAATGCTAGGAATTGTGTTGTTCATCTCCTGTGTGTGAACCAAGGCAATGGCTGCAAGCTCAAGCTTAATGGAGACATGGTTCGTGAGTCAGCCAGGCCAAAGCAGCCCTGGGAAGGTGTGGCACTCTCACACGAGATCTAATTTTATTAGTTCACCAGTGTGGACTGTACATTTGAAATATGAGCTGGACTCATTTGTTCCAACACTCCTGGGTGGATCCCAAATCAAATGTATAAGAATATACACTTCTTAAATACCACTTCTGTTGAAATTACTTCATGCACTGTGTGGTAGTAACATCTTGTGAGATAATAAACACTGCGCTTGACTCCATGCAGAGATAGTAGGAACTGCTGACGCTGGAGTCTGAGATAACAAGGTGTAGAGCTGGATGAGCACAGCAGGCCAGGCAGCATGAGAGGTGCAGGAAAGCTGATGTTTCGGGTCTGGACCCTTCTTCAGCTTTCCTGCGCCTCTGATGCTGCCTGGCCCGCTGTGTTCATCCAGTTCTACACCTTGTTGTATTTGATTCCATGCAGTTTGTTTCACTGTTTAAGAGTGCGTGTGCCTGTGCCTTTGTCTGAAGGAATGGAATTCACTCTGCAATACAGATCTCCCTGTACGGGAGTACCGTTTATAATAAAACAAGCAACTTATCATCTGCACTGAACAGATTAGGTCCTATTAGCTGCTGACATGGGATGGTGTAACCTCAAGCAAGACAATCTGTAACCACCTTAGCTCACTCAGTTACATCATTTCCCATTCTTGTAACTGAGAGCAGCAAACAGGGGGAAACAAACACAAACCCTGCGGCTTTGGTGGGTATTCCCCTCTGGTGCATAGCAGGGACAATCAACTCAGCTCTGAAACCAGCATCTTCAACTTAAATAAGGACAATTACAAATGAGGAAGTGGCTGGTCTAAAATGGACTGGGAAATACACGAAGGGGAAAGTCACTAGATAAGCAGTGGCAGACAATTTAAGTAAATATTTCATAACATTGATTAAAAAAAAATTCCAGTCAAAAGGAAAGACTTGATGAGAAAGATGAACCACCCGTGGTTTACAAAGGCAGTCAAGGAGGGCATAAACTAAGGCATTCAAAACGGCAAGAATTAGTAGTAGGCCAGAGGATTGGAAATATTTCAGGAACCAGAAGCAGATGACTAAAAAGGGCAATGAAGAGGAAGGAAATTGATCATGAAAATAAATTGTGAGATATAAAAACAAACAGCAAGAGCTTCTGCATGTATAGAATAAAAGGAGAGTAGCTAAAGTGAGTATGGCACCCTTGGAGAGTTAATTACAGGGAACAGTGAAATGGCAGATAATTTAAACCAATATTTTGCACTGGTCATCACAGTAGATGGCACAGTAAACATCCCAAAGATAACAGATAAGCAAAGTGCTAATAGGACAGAAGAATATGTGACAACCTCTATCACGAGAGATTAAGTGTTTGAGAAACTAACGGGACTGTATGCAGATAAGTTGTCAGGACCTGATGATCTAAATTCAAGGGTTTTAAAAGAAGCAGAAGAGATAGTGGAGACATTGGTCAAAATATTCCAGAATTCTCAGGATTTCAGGAACATTCCAGCAAATTGAAAAGCTTCTAATGTGACATCCTGT